GTAATCGCCGTGCCCAACCCGGCCCAACCGCCCCGCCCTGCCCCTCCCCAGGTCATCGCCATTTTGACCATCTTGCTGGGCCTGACCGTTTTTGCTTCCTTCGTATCGTCTGTGTCCAAGCTCGTGGAAGCTATGGATGGCCGCGCATCCAAGGCCCGAAGGAAGCTGCAGGTGCGCGCGCGTGCGCAGCGTGGGTGAACCGTGCGCAACTGCCCTGGGCTGGGCTGATGGTGGCCGGCACCCGCTGTCAATGTCGGTGGTGTGTGCAGTCGAGCCGGTCGGCGCCGATGGCATGCGCCCATGCACCCTTTTGCTGCAGCCTGGTACGTCCCGATCGTGGCCGCAGATCAGGCTGGCTAGTGGAGTCTTTGCCGCCGCACCTTTTGCGTGATCTTTGACCATTTTCAGCGGCCCCTCGCGCACCCTCGCAGAAACTGGACGCCTTCCTCGGGAAGCGTGACCTGCCGCGCCCCCTGATGCGCCGCATCACTGAGTTCCACCGCCACACCTCCGCGCGCCAGCTGGCGCCGGAGGAGCTCGCCATCGTCAACGGTGGGCCGGGAAATTGCCCCCCGAACGGTCGCCCGGGCTGCGGCGCAGATAGTGAGGGCCGCGTTGCGGGCCACGCCGATGCCGCACAATCCAACCAACAAGTGAGGGTGCCGGTGCCAAGCCCGTCCGCCTGCCCGTGCTCGGGCACCTTGCAGAGCTGTCCGCTCCGTTGAGGACCGAGCTGGTGCTTTTCCTGTTCCGCTCAGTGCTGGAGCGGGTCCCGTTTTTCAGCGGGAAGGGCGGCGTGTTCGTCGCTGCGGCGGTGCCACACCTGCGGCTCGAGCACTTTGAGGAGGTGGGTACGCCCCTGCTGCGGCTGCGCACGCTGCCGCCACTGTGGCGTGCAGCTGCCGCTGGTGTTCTTGAGCGAGGGGTCGGTCGCTTTGCAGGCGCTGAGACGGCTGGGCAGCAAGATGGCAGGTGTGTCACACGGACTGACGGGTGGCTGACAACGGCGCTGTCCCCATGATCGGTGCCTGTTCAACGTGCCTTTGGCGTCCACTCTCGGCACTTGGACCAGGGGGAGGTGGTCATGCGGCAGGGCGAGTCTGGGGACCACCTCTGGTTTGTCGCGCACGGCAGCCTGGAGGTGCGGCTGTACCACCCAAGGACCGCCTCGTCAGCGCCGCAGCGGCATGGCGAGCCGCAGCGGCCCGAGCCCGAAGGGAGGACGCCTGCGGCGGCTGCTGGCCGCCGCCACACCGCTCCGCCTGCTGCCGCTGGAGAGGGCACAGCGGGCGGTGGCTACGACGTGCTCGGCGTGCTGCAGGCGGGGGACTATTTTGGGGAGTGGTCGGCGCTACTGGGGCAGCGGCGCACGGCAACGGTCGTGGCGTCGTCGCCCTGCGAATGCTACAGCCTGAGCAGGGCGAGCGTGGCGGCGGTGCTGACGCAGTGGCCTGAGCTGGCGGCCGAGTTTGAGGGGATGCTCCAGGTGAGGGGTGTGGGGTGCAGCGTTCTTGCAATCGCGATGTGTGTGTGCATGTGTGTGTGTGTGTGTGTGTGTGTGTGTGTGTGCGCGTGTGTGTGCATGTGTGCGTGTGTGCATGTGTGTGTGTGTGTGCGTGCGCGCCCGCGCCCACGCGTGCGCGTGCATGTCCTTGTCTATGTGCACATGCTGTTTGATGGGGTGCCACGCCAAGTCATTGCCAGAATCGCGCTGGGCATTTCATCTGATGCTAAGTGCACTTTGCTGAACCCTCAGGTGCAGCCCGGCGAGTCCGGCCCAAGCTTTGTGCCTGGAGGCGTGCTAAGGCTGGCGCCGCATGGGGCCATGGTAGCACAGCGTGCTCGCAGGTGTGGGCGGCAAATGGGGGCTGCAAAAAGTTCACTCCATGACTTGGACCACTGCATCAAGCGTTGCATTGGCACCACTCACCCCACAGCCGATGATGCAAAAAGGGAGAATGGAATGGCCCACATTATGCACCCTGTTGTGATTCTGAGTCAACAGCAGCACGCGCACAATCCTCTCACTGTGTGCACGCCCCTGCAGCCGCCTCCAGTCGCTGGCAGCGGGTAACACCACCCAGGGCGTTACGGCCGAGCGGTGGCCGCCAGGCCTGCAGGACCACCCTCGCCGCCCCAACAGCCACCAGCAGCAGATCAAGGGCAAGAACCCCTGGCAGCACCACCTGCACCCGCTGCAGCCGTCGGCGGCGGGCCCGCAGCACCACTGACAGGAGCAGCCGCAGCCGGAGGCGGCCAGGCTGGAGGGGGCGCCGGCGTGGCGGCGGCCGCGGCCGCGCAGGCCCAGCGTGGAGCACGACTTCCGCTTCCTGCAGGTGCCCAGCCGGCAGCTGGGTGCTCGTGATGGCCGCCCGCTGACTGCCGCGGCGGTGCAGGGCTCGGCCTTTTTCCAGTCAACATCCGGTGAGCAACTGGGGGCGGGCGTGACTCGCCGTCTTCTGCTTGCAAGTGTTGCACGTATTACTTGAATGGGATTGTGTGCATGGAGACTGGACAACAGGCTTGAGACAGTGGCGTTCCCCAATGCTGGCGAGGGGCTTTGTCGTCGCCACGGCTCACAAGAATTACGTGTAAAGATGAAAATTGTTGGATCCCGCCTCCTTCCAACGATGCCCACCAACTCGCCGCAGGCGCAAGCGCATCAAGCCCACAGATCCCCGAGGGCTCCGTGCCCTGTTGACGCTGACATCAGCGTCAGCAGGCGCCCAGCACGAGGCTCAACAGCTGTGTGCGCAAAGCGGACACAGTGCAGCAGAGGCGCTGCAAGGGGGCAGAGGCGCTCGCGAGGGGTTTTGAAGCCTCGCCCAGGAGGTCGCAGCATGTTTGCGTTCATGATGCGACCTCTGGGCAGTCAAGTAAATGTACGCTCATGCCTGTAAGCAATGGTCTGTGCTCTGAAGTCATTGTAATGCCTTGACGTGCCTCAACCACCGATAACGACCAAAACGTGGACCATGAGTCAGACCACCGCACCCTGCAGATGCGTCTTCTCCACCGCTGCTGCTTCAGGCCCTGCCGTCGTCCAGCCCGGCCTCAACCCCGGTTGGCACCGCCTCGCCCGCGCCTCCCTCGCCGTGCGCCCCGCTCCTTGCTGCGGCCACCGCGTCCCTCTCCCCGCCGAAGCCAGCCGGCACCAACACCACCGCGAGGCCGTCGGCGCGCCTCAGCACCTCCTCCGAAAGCGGCGCCCCCTGCACCAGCCGCTTGCCCAGCTCTCCACCCACGCGCTGCACGTCTGCCACGACGCGCTCCACCACGCCCGCCGCAGCCTTCAAGGGTGCTGGGAGCGCCTCGACCTGCGCGCGAAATGGGTCACATGAATTACGCGAGGCAAAATGGAATCCTTTGTTTGGCACATATGATGGGCAGATGCATCTGCAGGGCTCACAGGACGCTGTGGGGCCGCTGTGCTGCACGCTCCCCTGCTCTTCCGCACACCAAGCATGACTGCAGGCCTGAGGGCCGCGCCAATCCGACCCAAACGCGTGCGCCCGCCCGCCCACCCCTGAGGGAGCCTCCGGCCGCGCCCCGCCCTCGCCGTCGTCCGCCGCGCCGGCGCCGTCCTCCTCGTCCCGCGCGAGCACCAGCACCGACGCGCCCGCGCCCCTCGCCGCGTTCACGATCGCGTCGGCGGCGTCGCGCGCCAGCGCGGCGCCCCACTCCTGGCTGGGCAGCAGCTCCACCTGGGATGGGTGGTGGATGCTTAATTCACCACGGGTGACTCAACGAACAACACACATGCGCGACACCAACACTGCAATTGCGGGGGGCTTTGTGAGGTACTCCTCTGCCAACAGTTGGCCAAGCAAGCAGGTTTCTGAGATGATTGCTGCAGTTTCTTTGGCGCGACGGCTGCGGGCGCCCTTACCGCCGCCACCCTGCACCCCACCCCCCCTTTCGAAAGGCAGCCGACCTTGAGGGTGATAGGCAGCTGCACGGCTCCCGGTGCCTCGATTCCAGCAACGACCCTGCGGCACAAAGCGGGAGCGTATTGTCGGCGGCATGTATGGGAACACACCATATAGTGGTGCGTTGACGTGCCTGAGGCAGGCCCAGTGATGTGAGACTACGTACGCATGACAAAGGAGTCAAGCAGCACGCACCTGCTGCGGACAGCACTGGTGACCTTGTCCAGCAGCTCTTTGGGCAGGTCGCCGTGGGGGTCAACGGAGAAGGTCGTCTGCGGCGCGCTGTGCAGCGTGACCGTCGACGGCGGCAGCACCGCCGCGACATGGACCAGCACGATGGTGTCGCCCTCGCGCCACAGCTCCGTGGCGGCGAACGCGAGGCCCGCGCGCTCGAGCGAGCGCTGGCCGACAACAATCGTGCGTCCCATGGTGCTGGCGCTGCAGCAATGGGGCGTGCGACTTGCTCGGAGGCGGGCCGGGGGGCGTGCTCTGCTGCGTGCGTCAGGGGCGGGTCTGCTGCTGAAGTGACAAGCGGGAAGCGGCGTCTGTGATGAGCCGGTTGGTCGCTACTGGATCGCGACGGATCAATTATATGAAAGAAATCACTGTGCTGTCAAACTGTGCTGTGGCCCAGCCTGCGCAAACGCGAAGTGCTGCATTTTCCAACCGTTGATGCCGATACGTATGACATAGGACCTTCGCCATGCCCCCTTTAATTGATCTTTTACCTTTTTCAATATTGTACCAACTTCGATCTACCGTAGACCACAGCACGCACGACACATCAGCGGTATGCGCGCCGAAGGACCAACGGGATCAATAGGAACCCGATGCAGAAGACTGAAGCAGCCAGTGGCAATCGCAGTGGGGCCCGCAAGGGCGCCAGCGGGGGCGGCGGCAGCGGCGGAGGCGCGAGCGCAGCTCAAATCGTCAAGGGAAGCAGCAGCGGAGGCAAGCGTGCAGGGGCCAGCAAGGGCGGTGGAGCATCTGGTGGTGCCTCCAAGAAGCTGATCGGCAACGCTCCTGCGGTGGGCATGCGGCGCTCGCTCGGCATTACTGCCAAGCTGGGTGGGTCCCCATGCAGTGGAGAGCACACAGGCCATTCCCTGTGGCCGCCAGGGGAGGAATCTTCATAAGGAGCCCTGCCTGAAGATATGCCTGCAATTCCATCACGCCAGTGATGCAGCCCCCAGCTATGTGCAGTCCAGAGGCGTCTTCACGCATCGCCACATGCCGCCACACACCGCGCCCATGCATGCGCACGTTCACACACTGTATCGCTCATGCAGGCCGGGGGCGCGGACGCCGCGCCCGTCCGCGTGCTGGTGGAGGTGCACGACAGCGTGCTGCAGCGCGACGCCCGGCTGGAGCGCTGGAGGAAGGCCGCGCAGGACCAGGGGATCGGCCTGGAACTGGTCGTGGTGAGTGTGCGTGTCCAGATGCATGCGGACTCACATGTGTGTGTGTGTGTGTGTTTGTGTGCACGTGCATGCAAAGCTTTAATCCTTGATGCAGGTGTTGGAGGTCGCATTTGCGTGGAGCGCAGGTCGGGCGATGGCGGCGGCGGCGACCGCGATGGCTCTGCGCCGACGCCACAGCCGCCACCACACGGGCCTGCTCTTGTCAACCCCTTGACCCCCCACCAGACGTCCAAGCTGCAAGGCCGCGTGCCCCAGGTCACCGTCGTCGGCGACAACACCCACGCCGCCGGCCCCGCGGTCGCCGCCGCCCACGGCGCGCGCGGCGCGGTCGTGGTCACCGCCGACTGGGTCCAGAACTGCATCCGGTGCGGCGTCCGGCTCGGATGGGAGCGCTTCCTGCACACAGCGATCGCCGCTGAGGAGGAGGACGACCCAGAGGGCCAGGCGCAGCGGGCTGAGGCGGAGCGCGCGTGGGCGCTGGTGAGCGACAGCATCACCGGCCGCGCGGGCGCCGCGCCAGAAGACCTGGCGAAGGCTTGGTTCCGGAGGCGCTTCCCCGGCCGAGGGCCGCTTTCGGACCTTCGGCGCGCGTGGGTGGACACAAGTTTGGGGCCGACGCGCGGCGGCGGGGCGGCATTCAAGGTTGTGACGTGGAACAAGCTGGCGACTGAGGGGTTCTTGGGAAGTGAGCTTGGGTAGCGGCTGGCGGGCATTGAGGGGCCTGCGTGCCTCTGCCGTTGACGTGTTGTTTGAGGTTTGCTGTACTAGACTGGCAGTCTGTTGGCGCAGGGTGTGTGTGTTCGCGCTTGCGTTGGTCCTGTCATGCTGCCGGGAGCCGCCTCGGCCCATCTGCTATCCCTCTTGGTTATTTCTAGTCACCCTACCATCGTGAGGGTCACTGGTAGCGAATATCGACAAACAGTCGACAATCCAATTTCTAAGAACTTCTTTTATCGGACCTCTCCACTGGAACTCCCAGGCAACGGCGGGCCGAAGTGGTACGTCGATGAGAAGTACAGGTGAGGGGTTGCATGCATTTGGGCAATCAGGTGCTCGGTGGCAGCCAGCTTAGGAGGGCGGTACGTGCTGCTGCATTACGTAGAGGAGCGCGGCAATGGGGCTGCTGGTTGCGAATTGGGGGAGTCAGGTCAGGATGCAGGCCAGGTGCAAGGTCTCGCGGCCTGCGCACGAGCGCCAAGCAGCCAATGGAAAGGGCCGCCTCCCTGGCTCTTGTTCCTATTTTTTTTCTCAATCGTGTTGCTGGCACCGACTCTCCATCAGGACCTGGTCCCACCGAGGGAAGCTGATTCTGGAGCAGCTTGAGCGGATAGATGCTGACATCATCCTGCTGCAGGTGACTCGTAATTGCGCACACATACAATGGGCACAGGGTCCTATACCTTGCTTCCATCATCCGCCAAGGACGCGGTCTGCAGGAGACCTGACGGGGCGCGACAAAGGGGCAGGGTGCTGCCCTGGACGCATCAGGGATCGTACAGGAGGGATAGTGGTGCATCTGCAACCTGCTTGCTTGTTTGATCCGGCAGCCTGATGTGACACATAAGCTTTTCCACCCCACGGGCTCCTAGGGGAGCGTGCGCGGCTGATGCCGACCGCCCCGACCCACCGCAGGAGGTGAGCAGCACGAAGGACGAGTGGTATGGCGTCATCAAGGAGTGGGCCGACAGGCGGGGTTACCTCTGCAGCACCGGCGCGCTTGAGTGCCGCATCATGGTGCGCGCCAGCCGCTTCCAGGTGCTGCAGTGGGGCACCGTCAGCTTCCAGGGCGCCTGCGAGGCGCCACGGCAACCAGCCGAAGGTGAGGGCCGGCTCATGCATTGTTGAGCAGATGGGTGGCGGGCGCCCCTGGTCCCCTTAGGCAGAGGGCAGGCGTTCAGGGGCAGGCGGGCTGTGCCTCCAAGAGGTGGGAATAGAGCTACGCAGGCATACAACTTGGGTCCTGGTTTGCTGGAAGGCTTAACACAATGGGTACATGACGTTGAGCGTTGCATGTGCAAGTGCAAATCTGGCAACCCGCTCAAAGCCTTCCCCTTCGCGACCGAGCTTGGTCCTCCCCAAACCGCGACACCTCTGCAGATGGCGCCCACCCCTCTGGGGACGGCTCTGTCAGAGAAGGCGAGGGTGGGGATGCCGCCCCGGCCGAAGTGCAGTGGGCGGACGACCCCTGGAGCATTGTCAGCCGGATCCCGGACTGCACGGCCGTGGCCGCGCTGCGCTGCAAGGTCTCCGGCCGCCTGCTGGTGGCTGCGTCGATGGTGGGTGCAAGGCGAGGCGCCCTGGGGGTGCTCCTCGAGGGCCTGGGCGGATCGAGCGGCTCAGTGCTCACCCACAGCGCACGATTGATTTGAAGCCTGTCCTGCGCGTCTTGTGCACTGTCAAACCTCGTTGGCCCCCTCCAACACAAATCCTGACCATGTGCTTGGCCCACCATAATAAATGATAAATCAACGACCATGGTGCGCAGCACGTCATCAACGAGACCTGGCTGGAGGGCGTCAAGGTACTCATGACACATACTGCCTGCCGTGAGTGGCGCAGCACACGCGCGCGCACACACACACACACACACACACACACACACACACGCGCACGCACGCACGCACGCACGCACGCACGCACGCTCGCACGCACGCTCGCACGCACGCACGCTCGCACGCACGCACGCACGCGCACGCGCACGCGCACTCACTGTCCAAGGGCACCCTTCTGATGTCATTGCTTGCTTTTTGCGCGGCTTCCGACACAATCCTGTGCCATCTCGTCATTTGCCAGAGCAAAAGAAACCCAGCTTTAGCCCAGTTTTATGCATCTGCTGACCCTTCGCCCGGGCCTCGCAGGTTTTGTACAGCAATTCGCAGCCAGGGCGCAGCGCAAGCACGGCGCGTTCGTGCCGCCGGCCCGTGGCGGTCCGTCGCACACAACACGCGGCAGTGGCGGTGGCGGCGGCGCCAGCGGCGATGCCGGCGGTAGTGCTGGCGGCATCAAGAGCAGCGGCGGCGTCAAGAGCAGCGGCGGCGGCGGCGGCGCTGGGGACGTCCCCATTATTCTGGGCGGAGATTTCAACAGTGTCCCGGGCCACATATTCGACCCCTGCCAGCTGCCCCATGACGTGAGCAAATGGGTCGGCTTTTGGGGGCAGTGCGCTGCTGGCGTTGGGCGGGGTGCCACTGGACGGGCGGGCGCACAGGGCGGTCGACGCTGACGGCTGCGGCGGCTGGCCCGCTCCTGGTCGGGGCTGTCCGCAGACGGGGGATGGTTACCTCGAGTGTGCTGAACAAGGCCCCTGGGGCCAAGCTGCCTCATGTCGGGAGCCACACTGGTGGCCCGCTCCAGCCCAGCGGCCGAGCCTGCCACCCCTCGAACTCGGCACCAAACCCCTCTTTCACCCACCCACCACTGTCGTCTGCCTCTGCCTCTGCCGCGTGCCCCTCCCCCCCCCTGGCCGCAGCTGGCAGAGCCCCCGCCGCCCTCCCC